ATGACTCCCTAGTGTCGTTAAGAAGTTCTAGCTTTTGCATACTGTCACCTGCTCCTACCAAGGAAACAGCAAATTTCAGTGTGCAGAAACCAAAATCTCTCCACTGGCTATGCTCTCATACAGGCACATTTTGAAATCCACGGAATATTGCTCTCTGATGCATTGCCAGGGCAAACGATCGCACTGTTTTCCATCTGCTACCTTACACTATGGGAGTCAAACACATGCACCTACAAACCAGAGCAAAGCGCACAGGTCTCAGTTTGGAACATGCATAATGTTTTTCATCTTCAAACTCTCTGAAGAGAGGAGGAAATCACATTAATCTTCACAGTACCCTTGTGAGATAAATAAAAAATGATTGCTTACCCTGTAGTGTACTTTATCTGAAGATTTTATCTCACAGGACTCTGAAGGCAGCTTTTGTGCCTTAGCACAAGACTAGCAAAACTTCCCAAATTCATTAATTAACAAGAAATAGTCACACTATAGTCACACTAGTCATTTTTTCTGATGATGTCAAAAACAGTCATAAGGTAATCCCTGAAGTTTGTTTTGAAAGTGAATTGCGACAGGTGAGTACATTAAGCTAAAAGTTGGAAGTGGAAGTGAAAGGGATCAAAATGGATCCATTTGTGGTATGTCACAACATACTCCTGTCTGGAACCTCCGGTCCTTCTGATGCTCTGCTTGCCCCAAAATGCCACGCTCATGAACTTACTCGCTAGCAGAAATGAAGCTGACTGACCAATGTCTTGATGACTGCTGTCATGTCAATGATCGCTGAGGCAGTCAGTCTTGGCTTGAATGAATCACCTTGGGACACCTACAGATAACTGTAACAGAGTTAAGGACCACGACCTTCAGGAAAGACGCACACAGGTTCTCTGATGAGACTTTTTGCCTGGCAAAAAGAGTAACTATCAAGTTGGGCTCTATACTAGGACTATGTCATCATTATGTTATGAGGCTCATTATTAGAAGCCTCAAAGAGGGTCCTATGACCATGGGATTCTCTCTAAAGCTCAACAGCTGCTTGGAAGACACTGGATGCACTTGACTACAATGAGGCAAAAATATCTTTGCCAATAGGCTGTCCAACTTTATAAGGAGACCTTATTGAGCGTGGCATGTAAAGAAGGAAGTGCCTGCAGAACAGCCTTGTGGGGAAAGCTCTCAAGCCTGTATTGTGAAACTGGCACACTTGGATGACCCTCAGAGGCCTCTACTCCAACGCATGCAGCACGGGGAAGAGTTCAAAGTCTGTGTGCAGTTACAGGGCTACAATCTCATTGGGATCATGCAGAAACGGTGGGATAGCTCACATGACTGGAGTGCTGTGATGGAGGGATACAGGCTCTTTAGGAAGGACAACTGCGAAGGTGAGGAGCGGGTGTTGCCCTTTATGTGAGCGAGCAGCTGGAACGCATGGAGCCCTGCCTTGGGACAGGTCAGGAGTCATTTGAGAGCTTTTGGATGCTCTTGTATTGGGTATCTGCTATAGATCTGATCAGGAAGAAGCAGTAGATGAGGCCTTCTTCACACAACTGGAAGAAGCTTCATGTTCACAGGCCATGATCTTCATGAGGGACTTTAGTCACCCCAATACCTGCAGGTATCTGAACACACACAAAAAAAACCCCAACACTGTTTTTCTGTGAGAGTGGTCAAATGCTGGAACAGGTTGCCCAGAGAGGCTGTGGAGTCTCCATCCTTGCAGATGTTCAAAATCTGACTGGACACAGTCCTGGACAACCTGCTGTAGGTGGCCCTGCTTGAGCAGGGGGATTGGACTAGTTGATCTCAAGAGCTGCCTTCCCACCTCAACCATTCTGTGATCCTGTGATGTTTAGCTCCATTTAACTTGATTCCTCATACATTTAAAATACAAATACAAAAAAAATACACTCGCCAGTGAACATATGCATTGCGGCTTTATTCTTGACACACAGCCCCACTGCAAACCCATTATCTCCAACTGAGTGGTCTCACTGAGATCAAATTAAGCAAAGCGTATTTAGGACTGTGGCCCAGCACAGTCATTTTCCTAACCATGCATTTCACTTAACCTTTGTTTATTCAAAGGATCTCATTTGTATTAAAAGAACTTCCATTTCACATAGAAGGTCAAAGGATTCACTGATCTGTTATTTCAACAACAAAGCTTCTCCCAAACTGAAGTTATACTGACAATTTAAGCAACGTAGACGAAAATAGTAGTCAGTATAAATCAAACTAGAAATCCCATCAATGTTTTTTTCTTTAAGTTTCCTGGCATGGCAACACTGTCCAACAGATATCCAGTAATTATTTGCCAATGTCACAAAAATGTTCTGTATCACAGCAAATGCATATAAATGTATACCACTGCAGAATGTTAGAATTTCTATTTATATAGGATGCACAACAGAGGCTCTATAGTCAGAGCAACATTTTAACATGCCTTTCAAAATGGGGAGTGTCTATTGTTTACTGTTTCTGGTGAATTTTAACTTCAAAATCAACTCTTCATTATTCCTATCCTCCTGAAACATTTCACCCCTCCATTACTTACCCAAAAATTACCCTACACCTGACACCACATGACATTATAAAACTACCTTCAACCGCAGCATTTAATTGTGAATGTTTGATAAGAGGGGCCAGGAAAGCACTGACAGCTCACAGGCTGTGGCAACAACACTAATGTTAAAACACCTACTGCAGGAAAAGAGATTTCAGTAGCACAGTTTCTCATTTCCTACTTTTGTTGGTTGTCAGAAGGCAATACACATGGAACAATCTTTGGATTATGTCAGAGATGTGTACCACTGCACACACAGCTTTGAGAGGGAAAACACTGCAGAGCACTGCACTTTAAGGTACCTTTAAGTAACACCAATTTCACAAAAACACATTCTGAGTTAACCGCTTGCTGACAAAAATTGTGTGTTACATGATATTTCCATACAAAACATGAAAATTCTGTGTTGCAAACAGGAAGAGAAGGCACGGTGTGGAAAACAAGAACAAGGTATTTTAAGAAGTCACAAAAGCGTAATTGATAATAAAGGTGAAAAATGAAGGGACGAAGGAGAAGAAAGTAGCAATTCCAACCCACCTACTACATTTAAGGTTCTAGATCGCAATTTCAACAATAATTTCTCAGTTGCGGCAAAGAAACATAACAGATAGCAAATTGTTCAGCATATCATGTTTTCATCTCATTTCTGACCATGAGAAGAGCATGCACTTTTGTGTCACACAAAATTCATGATAGGATCAGGGTCTCTGTTTTTATAAAGTGACTGAGGTCACAAACTTCTCCCAGCAGGCAACTAGGCTTCTGGGCAAAAAGGGGATGGAAAAAGTCCAAAAGAGTAGAGAGAACTTCACTGTTACTTAGACGAGAAAATGCTAAGAAATGCACGTACAGTAATAATGGAAAAGTATTCATAACTTTATTTTATTATTCTTTGATACATTTCTCAAAGCAAAACTATACTCTTCTTCAGAAAGGTTGCCCTAACTACTCCAGATTATCCACCTTGTATGCTACAGACACACTTCTCGGGAAAATGAAAACTGAAGAAGTGCACTAACAGCCTATTACTGTACAACCTAAGGTATATACTGTCCTTGGGGGAGACCTATAAATAACCCCATCTGAGAACAAGATTTTCCTTCTTTCACTGTTACCTAGCATGAACACATAACTTCCTCAGAAAAAAAGACTCCTAGCTAGATTATTAAATGGCTTTCCAGGCACTTACCATGGTAAGATTTGCCAAAACTTAATATAATTGCAGCTTCTGAATTTAGACTAAATTTTGCTAGTATTTTAGAAACAAGTGTCAGATTTATTTGTTTTGAAAGATGGAAGAGGAATTAGAACAACATCCATGGGATGGCAAATCTCCCTTCCTACTTATCTCTGTAATGACCCATATACTGCATTGTTTTTTCTCCATTTAATTGTATATTCTTCAGCTCCAATTTTAGTAGTCAGAATGCACAAACATATATCTGGTCATAAACTTTTATTAGAACTCTGTTGAAATAACAGAATTTCAAATAAATTATGCTAAATAATGAGGAAGTTAAATTATTCTACACTGAGCCACTGACTTCTTGGCAGCTATTTGTTTAAGTGCCTGAAGGAGTAATTATATTGCCTCTGAAAGTTTAGTTTAAAACAACCAAAACCGCAAGCCTTTAAAATTTTAAGAAAATAGCAAGAACTACATGCAAATTCCCAGGGAAAGGATGATGAGTAAAACTTCTGACCCATTAAGAGAATGCAATAACCATGTTTTAAACACGGTTAAAAGACTTTCAGGACTAGCAATTACAGTAACAATTTTTGTTATTTTGGGTTCTCCTCTCCCTGCTCACACATTGTGTTTTGGGTGCCATTTTTCTCTAAAAACTAAGGTAATTTTAAGATGCGATAACCAACACTCCGTAATAGGGACACACTACGTGGATCTCCATCCCAGGGCAGGAAGGGGGACAGGGAAGTGAGCAGGCCAAAGTTTTTCAGGAGAACCATAAAATGCAATTACCACTGTGCTTACCATTTATAACTCATAGAGCCCAAGTGACCTGAGAGAGTACCTAATGGAAAACAGTACCCACAACAATAAATTAACAACTATGGGATGCAGACAGTGCATTCCCAAATTGCTTTTAAGTATGAGAAGTTCTATCACAAACCCATTTTAGGACTCAATACAAGAAGGATAAACAACAAGGAGAACAATCTCAAGTCTCCATACACTGACCAATTTCAGTCTCAGGTGAAGATAAAAGCAATAGCCATATATTCTAACCAATGATAGTTCAAATATTTCAGAGTGAAACATGTTTAGACAAAAGCACAAGAAGCCACACTTTAAAGACTGAGCTTTTCAACAGACAGAAATATTTGCTTTTTATCACATTTCTTAGTTTATATTTTCACGCTTTTGCAAAGTACTTTTGTAGCAGATAAATAACATCAACTGAAAAATAAATTTTACCTGTTTCCTCTTTTCAGGTGGAAGGGATGGATCCCCATCCTACAAATAAAGAGACATATTTTATTAGCAACTTATTTCTGAAGCCAGCAATTATATTAACTTTGTGGATAAAATTTTAAAACACGTATTTTAACTAAAATGTTATCAAAATTGTTTCTAAAATACTGCATCTTGATTAATATCAGTAATATTAATTTAATCTCAAAAAATTGTCAAAGGCTGAAGATTTGTTTACATTTCTAGAACAGCAGGTCATTACAAATTTATGTTGCATTATTTTTCATAATGGTACATTAAGTTGCCGTGGAATAATAATACTGCAGTCAGTTTTTAAATGGAATTATGACTGAAACTAATTTCCTCAGAGCGCGCACTGCCTTTCCGTGTCTTATAACAGGCACTACCTCATCAATGTGGAACAAATGAGTAATAATATGATCAGGGCTGTACAACTGCAGGACTACTGTAAACAAGTACCCAACATTTTTACAGCACTCATTATTGGAAATGATGAGTGGAAATGGAAAAATTTCCTTTTTTTTTTGAGGTTGATTCTTGTGCCCCCAATTATACAGTATTCATAAAGAACAACCTACAATCAGCTCCCGATACTTCTTTTTCAGAGACTGGTGTCGTTCCCGCAACTGGTTGGCCATAAGCTTGTACTGGTCTCTTTCTTGTTGACAGGTGTCCAGCTCTTTGGAAAGGATTAGCAATGCCTCCTTTTTACTTTCGAGCTTCCTTTTACACACCAGATACTGCAGAAGAGAAAGAAAACCATAACTGTAACAAGCCATTTCTACCCCAGCCAGTACTGGATTCAGGAGGCTCAAGTTTTTCTCTGAAAAGACGGAGGAAGACTCTCTGCACGACATCAAAGTCTGCCACAAGTCATCTTAGCTTATTAATAACAACCACGGGAAAGAAATCTGTTGTATCAGAAGCGTGAAATGCATTTGTAAGGCCACATGATCACCTGACCACTGTGAATTAGAAAATTCAGCAATTCAAGTTTCTCCTCTTTTTCCTCATATGCAATAGTACGAGGTACCTCACAATTTGACCCGCAGCCCTGGGAAGGCTGCTGGAAGGAAGAAGCCTTTGCAAACTCCCTTTGTGTCCACAATATCCAGCTCTCAGTTAGCAACGAGCACTTCCCACCTCATTCCCCCTTCCCTCCTCCCTGCTACCAGCAATGTCCTCTGGGCTCAGCCTCCTGCCCGGACAATGTTACAGCAGAAAGGGTAGCATGAGTGGCAACCAAAATTCACCTTGAGTCTGAAACAATTACAGTGTGATACCCTATTGACACAGGTAAAATAAACTAATTTAGCTGCGATACTATATGCATTTGCTTGTTGAGTCAAAAGAATGGGAAATAATGCAGGAATATTGCAAGCACCTGAATGGGGAGGGAAGTCAGAGGTGAGCCTTCCCCTTCAGCCACCGCCTCTTATACATAGGGCTCATGCACAAAGCAAAGCAGAACTTGCAAATCTTAGCTGTTCTGCATTAGTCTGATCTGCTTCATTGCCTTTCCCCACTGAGAGGAAGAGAGAGTAACGTGTATGTCATCCTTCCCTGCAGTGGCTAAATGTTACCTATCAGAAGTTTCAGGGAACTTTTTTCACTTAACGTGATGTTCAATCAGCATTCTTCTTACCCATCACTTGACACTGCTCATGCTAAAGCATATATTTCTATTTCTGATGTTACTCACATAAGACGTGGCACTAAATACTTTCTGAATGTGCTCTGCAAGAGATCAAATATCACAGCAGTCATGAAAACAATTTATAGTTTCATTATATACTCCGACAAGAATACTTTGTCATTATGGGCTCTTGTACAAAGCAAGAGCATCAGCAGTTCCATACTGTTCAAGTCGGTGCTGTCTTTGGGACAAAAATCATTACTCGCATGTACTACTTGCCTGGAATTGACTTTGTTAACCTCAATTTCAAGTCAATGAGAAAGGGAAAAGTGAGTTTGGTACACTAGTACAGCCAACATTTTCCAAAAATGGTAAATGTTTAGTTGCAAAAAAGTGGGAAGGGAATGAGAAAAGCAATTCCAAGAAGGATTTGAACTCACAAAAAGGACGCTTCCACCTTGGATTAATTTTATTTCTGGCAACACTGAAGTTGGAATCCTGCCATAAATTTTCTGGATTATGATGCCTTGGCATCAACTTTACAAAGGCAACTGCACCTATGTACTTATGTCCTTACTGATACCTTACACAAATGTCAAGTCCCCTGATAAAGCATTGAAAGGTATCAGAAGCTAAACTTTAATATTGTCAGCAAGTGATTATAGTGACATGGTAAATCTGCTTCAAACTAGATAAAATAATTCCTTCCCTTACAGTGAAATATTTGCCTCTGACAGTTTGTCTTCTTTTTTCCAGTTTCATCTCATGTCTTAGTCAATTCTAAAATATGCCTTCACTAAATTGTTTTTAAATACTAACAATCTGATACAGTAATTGCAAATAAAAATGACTAAAAGCAAACCTCACAATGACTTTAAAAACCCAACAGCCCAAATCCCTGAACCAAGTAGCCTGTCCTGTTCCTTTAACCACCAGGAAGAACGAAGCTGGCCCATCCAGCCAACGCCTACCTGGAGCAGAACAGCCTATACAAAGTACACAGTGGGAGGGGAGCAAAGTTAAACATCTCACCTTGGGACACCCACACCACCAGCAGGTGCCTCCGAGCCTTGCCACGAGTGCTGGTATATGAAACAGTGTATGAGAGTCGGAAGCTAACCGGAGCATGTGGATAAGACCATAAAAAATAATACATATCAGGCAGGAAATGCAGACCTAGTGCTAAACAAGTCTTGCTTCTGCCATGAGTCACAGCCCTCCACAAAGGACACACTCAAAGCATAAAAGAAAGCTTCACCTTTCACTGGTGGGGGCAAGGGAATTCTCCATTATCTATTAGGTTGAGGATAATGAACCATAAACAGATTGTGGGGACAGTTGTGTTCAGGGTCTGAATGAAAAGGAATAACAATCTCCTCTTTGTTTAAAGTATATTTTAACCTGATGAATTATATACTGATGATGTGCCATACGGAAGGAAGGGGCTTGGCATCGCTCATCAATATACCATTTGGATTTTACCATAAAAATGACCACCTAGAAGACTTTTTGAAGCCATTTTTGCCTTTTGCATATATTTACTTTCCCAAATAAATGCGATAAAAATAGTAATAATGTATAGTAATTCGTTTCCATGGGCTTATGGTACAAGAAACAATAAAGCCACAGCATTTCTGTGGAATTTGATTATTTGACAGAGCTATGTTTCCAATTCCTATTACCATTTTTGAAGGAAAAACAAATTAGACAGACCTCAAAGAGGTTATTCAATATACATGCTTCTGAATGTTAAAAAAAAAGTACCAATAACGGCCATAAACTGACCTAACAACTGTACACCAGAAATGAGTTCTATTCAGGAAAACAACTGAGTTCCACCAACAATTTCCCATATATGGACAAATTAGTACAGCAAAATTGGTATGCTGTCAAAAGGAACATAGGAGTTTAACAGTCTTTTTGGAGCAATGCAAGCAATAAGGGAAATTTTCTGATGTAGTCTGAGAAAAAGCATTCAATAGATGCTTCTGGCATTCCTATAGAGATTTATTCCTCTGCAACTGAAGGAAAGTCTATGTCTCACATACTGTCTATCAGCAAGACGAACAAGTGAATTCTGTTATGCACTATAGTTACTACAAAATATTCTTATTGTCTTTTGTTTCTTTTTAACTGATGTTCCAAAATAATCTTTGAGTTTAAAAAACAAAGTTAACCAAGAACCAGCTGCTATACTTTCAATCTAAAAGCTACAACGTACAACTTTTCATATCTGTCTAGCGACTTTTATCTACCAATTCGCTGTTATCTGCAATAAAGCAAATTATAATTGCTACAAGGAAGATCATAATAATTAAAGGAATATATATGACATCCTACATTACTGCCTGAACTGCTTTACAGCCAGATAACTACTTTAGTGAAATTGAGTAAAAAGAGACTGACATTACAGGAGAGTGTAACTGCTCCAAGGTGACCTTCTACATCGAACACTTACTATTTGTCCATTGCTATTTTTAGTGACAAATCTGGATAGATCTCATTAACAACGCTGTAGACATGGTCTAATAATCTGATGAAGCTGGGACACTGTCAAGGTTTTAGACTTTCTTTTTTTAAACCAACACACACACCGAATTCCTATCACAAAATAATTTCTTTTAAATTTGTACAAATTACTGGCCTATACTTGGGTATTTAACAGCAATTAGTGCCAAGAAGGAAAATATCTAATTTTCTGAGGGTAAAAGTAGAGATACTATCTCCATACTGTGCTTTGGATTCGCTGTGGATCATATTCTGTGTCTCTTAACACGCCAGGACCTAGTGTCCTCCCAAATGCTGATGGACCGCCACATTGTGCGTGGGCCTGGAAGCCTATCATCCGCCATGCTCTCAAAGAAACCATGAACTCTATTCACCATCTTTTGGACAAGAGATCCAACTGCTATTGAACTGCCTGAAGTTTTATCAAATTTCTCCTCACTGTACTCTTGGAGGCAATTTTGTTGTGGAAATGACAAACTGAAGAGTCCCAAAATGCATTGCAACATCACTATTTGGGGTGTTTGTTGACTGTGTTTCAGTAATGTTGCTCCCCTTGATTTCAGATTAAACTGTTCAACTTATCTGAAAGAGTCAAGCACTCAAACCCAGAGAAATACACAATTACTGGCCATTTGCCTGCTATCTCACCTCATGTCCTCATCTCTAATAAAACTGAGACAATGCAGTGTCCTTGGTTTTATCCTGCAATATCAACTCTGCTTTTCCCGCTGCCCAGCGCTTGCTTCACTAGCTGCCTCCTGAAACACAGAGCAGGCTGGTATCATTCACTGATGACATAAGTGATACAGGCAGCTCCCCAGAACACCCCGTCCTGTCTTGATGACAATAGTACACCACATCACCTTCACTGGTCATTTAAGAATTACCATCATCTGATCTGACTAGTCAAAATAACACTATTTTGTGATGTGGCCTAGCCCTTAAAAGTTTTGTATGCTGTGCATCGGATTACATTATTAATTTCTCCGTGTTTGTTCCTCAACATCCCTGTGGGTATCTTAGTCCAACCTGGAACATGAAAACATGAGAAGCAAACACTTGTTTTGCTGCCTGAAAGCCCAGCATGCAGGTCTCCATAGCACCTCTCCCACAGCTCCCTCCCACTGCTCTGGAGAGCAGTAAGTCACAGTGCCAGCTCTTCTAGCATTTCCACTGCCTTTTCCAAAGGACAAAGCCACGCCGATGCCAACCCAATCACCTAGGGACCTCAGAGCATCAGCTCCACTTTGTTCTTCCCTACAGCCACTGGCATGTGCCCGTGTTTAGAAAAGCTCTGAAATTAGTGTCTCCAAAGCCTGCCTGGTCCCCTCACGTAGGTTTGGTGAATTACATTTTACACTCTGAAAAGGTGACATGACAGAAAATTAGAGAGATGTTATAAACGTGAAAATCTCACTAGTTTTCCTTCCTCTTCTCTCTCATCCACATAAACAGAATTGTGCAACTAATGGAAAAGGTATGTTCTGCCAATTACAAGCAGTTTAGCTTTCTTACTCTTATTCAGAATTCATGTCTGGAACATTTAGGTATTTCAACTAGAACTGCTGCTTAATAGTTGTGCGTTTGATAAATAATTCCCCAAAACTCTTTCTCCAAGTTTTAAGTTGGCGGTTACTAGGCAAGGGAGCTCAAGAGACAAGCATATCACTTCCCTCTGTGATGCCAAAGACCATACACAGTTAATAAACAAGAAATAGCCTCTTGAAAATGACTAATTAAATGGAGACTATATTTCTTCAAACTAATTTTAGGAGGTACAGTCACATATGAGTAGCTGTAAATAGCATACAGTAAATGCTCTACTGTGTGGGAAGTGACAAGGAAGAGCAAAGCATTTTGACATTGGATTTAATTCTAGAAGTTGGCAAATGCGAGGGAGAAGCTAGCAGAAAGGACGGAGGACAACCACTCTAGTCTGATGGGTTTCCTAGGAAACCTTTCTTGCTTCCAGTGGAAAACACCGCCAAAAGTGCACGTTCTCCAAGCAGTATTAAATTAGGACTAGTGCCAGCTCTCAATGAACTGAACGGAAGCACGCTCACTGACTTCAGCAGAAAGGAGACCGAACTCATAGAAGTCAGCTCTCTAAAGCAAGGACAGAGGTAGTCTTGCAGATTATGTAAAAGTGTTTTTTCCCTACCACATATGATCTCCCAGTACTGTTCAACTCATCCCACCACCCCAAGATCATGCTACCACTTACTCCTTTCTCCATCACTGATTCTGTCATCATCCTTAGATCACATGATTCCAAGACAGATTACGCAGAATTCAGGCAAAAACTGAAATCACACCCTTTTCCACAGCAAAACACACAGAGTTGGAAGCCTCTAGAACCTTTCAAAAAGAAGCCCCCAACTACCCTTGAACAAAGTTCATATATCGTGTTTTTCATTCATATTCGTGGGATTTAGTTATATTTCATCTCCCTTATAGAGACAGGAAAACTGAGCCACTAAGGAGTTGGCTTACATGGAGTTCGTGGAAGTCAACAGCTTAGCATATCCATAAACATGGCTGTCAGGCTAAGAAGTAAGTATGGATATTTAAAAACACTTAAAAGCAAACAAACAAAACTCTGCAACCAAGATTTTGGTGACCAAATAATCTTCAAGAATTCTATTCTCTTCAGTATATATGATTGCTTTCTAGCAGTGCACTCAGCAAAGTAACTAGTAACTGTCACACTCTCCTCTTTTCATCCTTCCAGGTGGGAGAGGTATTCTGTTTGCATCAAGGATTTTATTTTTTAAAATAAGAGACATTCGAAGGCATGTTCAAAGGAATGGGCCATACTCTTGGGATAGTATTTTGGGATTTATGAAGATCACTTGTTTCTGGAGGACTTAGGCCACCATTTCAGTCCAGGCAGCAAGAAAGTTCTTGCTACAGCTCAGTTTCATTTGTGTCAAACAAGCAGTTATTGACCAGATCTTCCGTAAGAAGAATGGGCGGGGAAGACG